TAACTTATTATGTAAATACGCACAATCGGCTGATAGAAGATTCTCAACAGACAAATTCATCCGACCGTTTGTATGGCTTTGTCAATTATGACTGAATTCCAATTGTCTAACGTAATAGAAACCGACAATTTTCAATTATAGAAATTTAACGTTTATTGCTATTTTTAATAAGCAATCTTCAAAAACTAAATGAAATTGATGAAAGAGCCGGATGAGTAAGAAGGTAAGATTGCTCCGCTAAAAACGCTCTACCGAGTGTGGTTTATTTACAATATATCCATGCTTCTAAAATCTTACATAGGTATGGCATTTAATGACTTCCGTGTTTTTGATCCTGATAACAAAATTACACAAAAATGGAGTCTGATAGTAACTGTATTTTTTCTAACCCACATACATTTTTATTGTTTGGATTAAACCGTTTTTAGGAGCACTGTAGGGAAATGATTTCCATATACACCATTCTGATTTTAATCTTCAACAATTAAAGTCTTTTTCGTGTTTTGTATTTTTAGCAACATAATTCAACAAGATTATTCTTATTGTTTTATCTGTTAGGATTATGAACTGTATTTGGAAATTTAGTGCGATATATCGGATGAATATGTTTAAATTACTCATCACCTTTTAGGATCTTTTTCAAACGAATCTTTTGTCATATAAAAGCTTCAGTGGCGGTTCCTCCCAACCTAAAAGAATTTCATTTAACTCATTTGTATATTGAAATTTTCACTTTTTCCTAGAATAACCGTACCTATTGATTGTGCAACACTTTTCTGTTGGATTGTAGAACCATATTGTTACCAGAATGTATGTGCTTGTATTGTATTACGGCAGTTGTGATATATGTAAAAGAATTATCTCTTTGAACCAAGAGTAATGCCGGCACTATTAGTAAATGTTTTATATTTTAGTTATCTGAAAAGGTGTGTACCTACACGATTTGTGATAGTAATTGTAGAAACATTTTCTTATGCATGTCAAGTTTACCTGTTAGATTTCTATTTTCGATCAGTTTGTTTTAATTGAAATGGGAATGTTTATATCTGATATATTTTATTTAATAATATAATCGAATTCTTCTCATAGTTAAATTATTGCATCACAATAAGATATAAATATTTCTGAAATGAGAGATCTGCACATACTGTTAGACTCTTACATTTTCTCTTGAATTTCTGTTAACCTATTTAATTTCAAATAAATGATACGCCAAAGTGATTCTGGCACTCTATAGCTGCAAACCATCAATTTAAAAGATATTCATGCGAGCATTAACTGCATTAACTTTTTGCATTCTTTGTAAGCCTGACTAATCATCAGGAAGTTAGAAAACAGACTCAATTTGTATTTAAATTCCTCGAGGGAGTAATTGCAACGTGAGTCACTTTAAGTGGATGCAATTGAGAAACCGTAGTTTTGTGTTCATTTTATTTTGAAAGTAGCGCCCAACAAATTTTTCGTTTGAAAATGAAACTTTACAAACTAAATTGTTAAAATTCAGACATTTTGTGAAAACCTTGGAAGTATTACTGAATCTATGATATTTCTGTCTTGAATCTTTAGATAAATCACTTTAAAAGTCCCTGTTATTAACATTAAAATTAAATTAATGTACTGGTTGTTCCGAAAATAGGGATCGAATATCATATTTTTTGAATATCATATAGTTGGATACAGAACGAGTTAAAGTATGTCATTTTCTTCTTATATTGCATAGTTTGTGTTTTATTGTGGAGGTCTAATTTAGGTTTGATTTAAAGTTATTGTCAACAATTTTTGTTTGGTTGAAACTTCTTCAAGCGCGTGCGACTCGTTTAGGAAAATATCTATAGCAAATAAATTGCCAAAAAAGGGATCGAAAGTTATCATATTCGCTTTAAAAATGACGTCAAGCCAGAACGCTGTTTTACTGGCTGTGACGTCAAAGGGTACGTCGGATAGAATTTATACTATATCTATAGATAGAATATATAGTTATATGGCCATAACCAGCACAGATAAGTATAATATGCACTTGCGTATTGCATATGAGCAAGCTAAGCGTCTTTAAGACATACATTCAATCACAGATGAAATATAAACTAATAAAGCTTGTTTGATTGGATCTTCCGGCTTCTGAATTTCAATTTCTAAACAATCGATTATGGCGTAAACTTTACTAAGTACATATACTTAATGTGCACGGAAAGGTATAAGTGACGTAATTTAGGTTTATCACACGACATCCAGACTATTAAAGTCTTGAACCGCCCCTAATCAATGGAAGGGATTTTGCAAAAATTCTACCCGCTATAGTTGCGGAAATCTCAATATCATCACCTAGTTCAGCAGAAGTTTTGTCAAGGCGAATTTTTTGAAGAAGTAGATAATTATTTGCAAAATCCAATTTTGTACTCCATCTCGATGTAAATCGATTATAAATAAAGTGTCATTATTTATTACCAGGTATATTCAGGTATAATCTTGGATTATTTTCGATTTTGAAAAGTGTGCTTTAATGTAAATTGCTTGTGCTCCGCATTGGTAGCTTCCCCTTTTATTGCAGATAATGCGATACTAGTATTTGAGCACTTAATAGAACTCTGACTAACTGTAGCTGTGGGAACGTTGTATTGAGATGACATACTTTTATACTTTGGTATTAAATTTACTTGTAAGGCTATTGATATACCACGACCAGTGAAGTGTTCTGTTATTGTAACATCTTTTATTTGTTCCTGATAGTACAATTTCTCCTCTTCATATAATAAATTTACGTCAGGCGTTTAAATATAAATACGACTTTTTGCGGAAACATCTGTCTAGTTCCGCCGAGCTGCCTTCAACCACAATTTCTGTTTATTTTCGTTTAATGGAACTTTTATAAATGTGTTTTTCTGGTGTGGACATAGTGATGCTTGTGCATCGTGGCACCATACAGTGTCGATAAACCCTTTTAATTTCAATAATTAAGTAACAAGCAAAGCGTTTAAACTTGCTGATAAATTCGTTATGGCTAGGCAGAATAAAGAAAAAAATTGTAGGACCCTTATTTGTTCGTCATTAATCAATTTTACCGAATAAAAAAAATGTGCATCGACCCTATTCATATAAGAGAAATAACATATTTTCTATCCCGCTTTGTTATGAATCTATTGAGTTTAAAAACAAAAATATTTTTTTTGCTATTCAAATTGTTTATTAATATAAAAGTTTGTACAGTTTCTACTTCAGTTGTAACCACATAGAAATTGGCCTAACATTCAACGAGCTTTTTTGACAATAACAAACACTGTGGTAAGAAAACGTTAATCAGACTTGAGAAGTACAGTCAAATATAAAATTATATCCATCTGCCATAAAAAATAAGTTTTATTTAATTTAGCTTTAAAATGACCAAAATATAATCTAGAAATGTATTAAAATAAAAAATAGCAAGAACGATGTTTTTGCGAATTTGGAAAGAAAATCTGGAAATTATTGAAAATGGTTAAATGCATGGAGAAGCTTTGGTTATTTTTAATCACAGACATCTGAGTAGAAATTATAAATACTTTTCCGGTTATGAAAATCGAACATACAGTTAGGACGTATGGAAGTACAAACAATAATTTTAAGAAAAAACACTAAAAACTCTCGGCCACAAGCATTGCAAGGGAAGATACATTATTAAAGACTCCAAAATTAATTAAATGTCAAATTTCACAAATCACAGTTATTCCATGCACAGAAAAACTTTGTTATGATAGACAGTCAAATATGTACCATTGCCCAACAGGAAGTTGAAAGAGGATTAATAAGGCCATTCCCTCCAATGAGGCAACTTTTGTGACCAATAATTCAATAGTTCAGATGGTTTAACTCAGGGGATCTGGCAGGCCAACAAGGTTCTGAATATCTATATATGGGTTGAATGTAAATCTGTCCCCGTTTTGATACGGGTAGTTCGTTCACAAAATAATGATCAAATTGTGTAAAAACTGTTAGTAACGATCGACATTCATAAATTGATGGAAAATTAGTAAAATAGCGAAGAAAATATGGTCCAATATATAGGTCTCTAAGTCGAATGAAACTATAAGCATTTTTCAAAACTCACCGTTTCATGTGCTCAGTTACTATGTGTCTCTTTTATGTTATAAAAAACGATTGTTTTACTCGATATTTTATACTATTTTCCAAATATTTTAGAGCCATTTATATATCTTTGTTCAGTGTGGGCCTCAGTAGAACAAAGGTAAAAAAGAAAAATATGTTAGACTTCAGACTTTATTTTGCATAAAACGCAGAACTTCACATTCGTTCTTAAACAATTCAAAGACTGAAATTTATATACCAAGACAGGCGATGAATACACATTTTTATGGGTCAATATCAAACTCGAGTCACCCACTTTTTCATAGCATCGATGTCAAAATTTCGAAAACTGTATTTTTGTATGTAAAATTCTAAGGTCAAATGGAAAAAGTAAAAGAAATGACTATTTCGATGCCTCTAGAATGGAATATTTTCTGGTTTACTAACGTTGGGGCGCCCTGTATATTTCATGTTGACCTAAGCCGAATGCTTTGAAAAGGACTGAAAATAATTTTATAAGTAAATATACCGATATAATGTTAACAACAGTTTTAGTCAGTGTGCCTTACATGACGTTCTCCAATTCTTTCAGTAGCTGCTTTCATGCGATTAAGCAGTTTAATTTAGTCGTAGCAATGCGTTCAGTGCTTCACCCCATGTCTTCTCAGGAAATTGGAAAATTGTGCCTGATTGAATTAGATCACATGTTTATTAAGGTTTTACTTCTATATGCAAAATAAGCACCACGGGGTTTTTACTTCTATTTGCAAAATAAGCATTTACATTACCCTCAAATAATATGTTTATTTAGCAACCATTAGTTATACGACAAGAAACATCAAATATTTTCCACTCTATTAGCCGCTACAAGTTATAATTTTTTATTACGGTAACTAATGTATATATTAGGAACAGAATGTACTTTGTATTTTTTATTCTAGGCAAAAACGGAAGAACATCTACAGAAAGAAAAACAATGGCTGGATGCAGAAAGGGTGTGGCTAATGCATAGAGGTGGCTTTGCCGCGGCCAGAAAAGAGTTTGATCCGAATTCCGATCCGGGAAAGATCACAATCAAGCTGGAACAGTCTGGAGATATTCTGCTGGTGGATGAAGATGATATCGAAAAGGTGAGTGCAACTGTTTTAACACCGTGAAAGAAAATAATATTTAGATTATTGCTTATTTTGAAAGAGCCAATAAGTTAACTGAGCCTTAAGAAATAAATCACGCCTAAGCATGTATTTTTCAAAAGTTTGTTCATTGTTTGTTTCTTAATTTTTTTGTCGAAATGTTGTTATAATTTATTGGTGGTGGAAGTTGTTGGCTATGAGTTAAATGATATTTTCCTTACCTAATATAATTGTATAACTGAACATGAAACTGAAATAAAATGTATTTTAAATAAAGAACAAAACTTGTGGCTTTTACTAACGTTTTATCTGTACTGTTTTCAGGCCAATCCTCCCCAATTTGACCGAGCAGAAGATTTAGCAGCTTTGAGACACTTAAATGAGTCCAGTGTGCTACACACCTTACGTCAACGGTATGCGACCAATTTGATTCACACTTATGCTGGATGCAGAACCCTCTTAGTGATCAATCCGATGGCTCCTTTGGCCATATATTCGGAGAAGGTAAATAACGTAGAAACATTTCTCAAGCTTTTTTGAAAGTAGGTTTCTTTTCGTTTCCAATATTTTTTAGTACTTTGGAAGTTTTTGGACCTGTTGAAAACAAGCTTTTGTTTAACTCTGGCAACAACAACGAGAAACTATTGAATGTTCTTTTTTATATTTAGGTGGTTGCACTTTTCAAAGGTTGCAAGTCAGAAGATATGCCGCCTCATATCTATTCAATGGCTCAGTCGGCCTATCATAACATGCAATCAAGTCGCAGGGATCAATCCTTGGTATTCCTTGGTCGATCCGGAGCTGGAAAAACGTCGAATTTTCGTCACTGTGTCCAGTATCTAGTGACTGCCGCAGGTACTGCCAACAATGTGCTTAACTTAGAAAAGTTGACCGCCATGTGGACTGTATTGGAAAGTTTTGGCAACTGCAAAACTGTGATGAACACAAATGCAACCCGATTCACCCAGATTTTCAGCGTGGATTTTGATCAGGGTGGTGCTATATCATCGGCAAGTATTCAGATCCTTCTCCTAGAAAAGAGCAGAATTGCGAAAAAAATTGATGGAGAATCGACTTTTCATATCATGAACCGTCTGCTTTGCGGTGTTGAAGGCTCATTACGCAAAGAACTGTTTCTCGATAGCATATCTGGAAATGAGAATAATTTATTAATGCATTTGCTGCAAAAACATGAAGACAAGCAGAGAGCCCAGCAGGAATTCATCAAAACCTGTATGGCATTGCAGGCTTTAGGCATTTCGAATGGTGAACAGAAAGTGATTTTCTCAGTCTTGGCAGCCATTTTTCATTTGGGTTGTGCAGGAGCTGTTAAAGGTAATTAAAAATATATAGTATATTTAAGCCTTTATGAAAATTAAGTAAAATCAATTCCTGGGCTTCAGTCATTTATTGTCTATTTATCAATTAAAATACGTTTCGGTGTTTTCCACCATCATCAGTTTCTATGTGTAGCG